ATAAATATTAATAAATATATTAAACTAAAAATATACTAATTATTTTTCTTTACACATCCTCAGATAATTTCATTACCCTGCACGCTTCATTCATGCAAAGACATGTACTTTCTGATTTGTTGTTTAATATTAACAGTGTTGGATCAATTTGAAGTGTGCGCCATAAATTGTTTGTCCTTTAATTGGCGTCGCTTCCGTCCAGTAGCATATTAGCATGTTAATTCATTTGATTCGAATAGAGTAGTGTTGGGACTGGCCCAACATCAACAATTAGCCCAAAAGGTCATATAAGATCCACAGATATAATAATTATGATACACCGTGTGATCAAGAGTAAGTGTATCAACATGTGTCGCCATTGTTAAGAATGAAGGTTTATAAATATCCATAATTACCTCAATATTGCAACACATTTCTCTCTTTGCAATAACTTTTTTTTAAGTTTCTCTCTTTAAACTATAGAATATTACTGACTTGCATATCAAGTGTTTATTCCAAGAAAACATTTTTAGGGTTTTCAAGTATTAAGGTAGTTAATGATCTCAATAATAGAAATTTGTGAAGCTACCAAATAAGGCTATGTTGGTATAGTTGATAGGAAGTTTTTTTGGATTTTAAAAACTTCAACTGCACCAAATACTATAATTTATGAACAATGTTATAATTTCTCACAAGTTAATATTTTGTTCATTTCATTACAAATCTCATAAGCACCAAATTAATGCTTCTACAAGTGCTTCTGCAACAGTTTTTTATTTTGATTTTAATGAAATTAACACATTATTTTTATTTTTATTTTTATTTTTTATTTTTTTTATTTACAAAAACAACATTTCTACAACGATTTCTTTTCAAAAGAACTCCTATTAAAATCTCTAGCCACGCTAAAAGGCACTAATTAGCATTAACTTTTGAATACCAGATTGATTCCAAAAAAAAAAAAAAGAAAAAAAGATTAATGTTGTTTGTTGAAATTAAGCAAGATTGGCCGACCCCTCAGCCGCTGTAGGACCGAACAACGAATATTTATGTCACGCCCCATAATCCAAATTCGGGGACGTGGCAGACGTAGTGTACTCGTGAGAAGGTCTCACAAATGCACAAGACTCGAAACTTATTCAAATCACATCTGACAATCCAATGACTCAAATCAATCATCTCAAAATAATTCTATGTCCAACATAACTTAATCTCAAAATCTCCATGTCAAATCTCTTATGAACTAACAATTCATTAAATGAATTTATAAAATCTCCAATTAAACTCTAGTTTACAAGATCATGATCTATATCTAAAATCCGTATCAAATTACAAGTGGCTAGCCTTCTAACTCGTCACTCCCCTTGGTTTCCCCATCCTCGGTTTCGTTTCCTGAAATGATGGACAAGGAAAACTATGAGATAACTCAGTAAGTAAATATGGATAGCCCTTGGTAAAAACTTTAGCATGCCAGATAAATAGTTTAACATAACAAAACGTTCAATGATAAACTATTAATGTAGAATCAGATTCAGTTCAAAAACAAAACGTTCCACGACAAATCATTAATGCAGAAAAAAATTCAGTTCAGTAGTCTCATCTATAAGTCATGACCAGCGTTTATAAACCTCCCACTGACGAGCACAGTAGTTACCAATGTTTAACCCCATTGGCAAGGTTACAGAAGTACCAATGTTTAACACCCACTGGCAGGCGTCGGAATTTACCAATGTGTTCGCCCATTGGCAGGCGTCGAAATTTATCAATGTGTTCGTCCATTGACAGGCGTCGGAATTTGCCAATGTATTTGGCCAGTAGCAGGCATCAGAATAAACCGGTCATATCAGTAAACACGTCGACATGTGCTAGCGTTACTCCCACTAGCGGGGATCGAAAATCATGACCATATCAGAGACAAAATCATGCAAGATTTACAAAATAAATCCGTAATTCACAATCAATCTCCAATTTCAGAAATAAACCGAAAATTTTCCATGTGAGCATGGATTTAACAAAAAAACTCAGAATTTACAAAACTCTCAGTTCACCAAAACAGTTCAGTCAATTCCAAATAGGCATGCTCTACTCAATGCAAATGAAAATAATTTCATGTGGGCATGCTCAACTCCAGAAAAACAATGAAATTCTCATTTTCATTTCAATCATGCTCAATTCCAGTAAAACAATGAAATTCCCACTTTCATTCCAATCATGCTTAATTCCAAAAAAACAATTAAATTCTCATTTTTAGTCCAATCATGCTCAATTCCAGAAAATAATAATTTTCATAAAAATCATCACAATTTTCATTTCAGTTTAATCACACTCAGATGCTAATAAAATCAATTTAAAATCAGTTTAAGTCTTGCCACCATCCAATGTTTTTGAACCCGGCCCGGTGGCTGGCCCGGTTTGGCCACCGGGTCCGGTTCAACCGGTTGAACCGGTTCACCCGACCGGTTCAACCGGTCAACTAAAAAACTTTTTTTTTGGGCATTTTTATTGAATTTTGCTTTTATACCTTACCTTCACGGTTTCACCCGAAAACGATATAGATCGTTTTGAGCAGAACAGACGAGGGAGATGAAGATGATCGGCGAAAGAGAAGAAGTGCAGCGGCGGAGGAGAGGATCGGTGGACGGTCGGCGGAAAAGAAGATCGGCGGACGCTCGGCGGAAAAGAAGATCGGCGGACGATTGGCGGTGGAGAAGATCGGCGAACGATCGCGGAAGAAAAGATCGGTGGACCATCGGCGGACAAGAAGATCGGCGGACGAGAAGATCGGTGGAAGAGACGATCGGCGGACGGTCGGCGAATGATCGGCGGACGATCGGCGGACGATCGGCGGAGAATCGACGAACGAGAAGATGATGAAAATTTCAGCCTGGCGGGTTGCAGCGGGTCGCAAGAGTTCAACGGGCGGGACGGGTCTGACGGGTTTCAACGGGTTTCAACGGGCCATTTGCTTAAACGGGCCGAAGTATGCACTCGGCCCGTTTTCAGGTCCGAGTCCGGTTCAACCGGTTCAACCGGCCGGGCCGGGCCGGGTTTTAAAACACTGCCACCATCTCAAAAACAATTTAAAACATGCTTTAAAATCAAAGTGTTTTACCATAATTTACTTACCTCACTCGCATAAAACCAAAAACTCGATCTCAGTGCTACGGTGACAGAATGATCAAAACCTAATCACAATATTCAAGAATTAATACCACACTATCACAAATTCACAGTGAAATCATCATTAGCACTACCCCTAATCACAGTCCTATTTCTATCAATCTCCATGTAACCAGGCATCTCCAAATTTATTCTTATATTACAAACTAAACATTTAAATCCCCGTTAATCGTTGACCTTCGGTGTGTGAACAGTGCCCGTGAACAGTACCGTGAACAGTAACTTCAACTTCCAAATTTGCAAAACCATAGCTAATCTCACGGGATTTTTCTCCAAAATCACAACAACCCAATTCAAGCTAATTTACACTTAAATTAAACAAAAACCCACTTAAAGCTACCAACTCCCGGGATAGAAAAATGGAGAAATGGCTTGGCAAAACCACTCACACACGGGATTTTCCTACACAACATCACAACAGCCAATCAAGCCATTTCTACATGAATTTAAGCTAAAATTATAGACTTAAATGGCTGCCGAATTTCTTCCTATTTCCACAAAATTTTCGGACAATCACAGAGCATCAACTAAATGGACAAAACCCAACAATTAAGTGGGTAATTTCGGACTTAATGGGGCTGTCAACATACCAGAAATCCAGCAAGCAAAGTCGGACTGGCGGGTTTGAGGGAAGGCCAACGGAAATTCTGCAGGGGAGCTCGCGGCTACCAAATCCAAAAACCAAAGCACAATTCAAGGTAAACCCAGCCTAAATCAAGGTTAAAGAGAGGGATTCATGGCTAAATCTTACGAGAAAAAGCCCAAAAATCTCACACCCACAGCAGCCGGCGGACAAGAAGAAGAAAACAGTGCAAATCCGGGATTTTCTGGGTTGAGGGAGAGAATTCTAAGCCCCAAATCTTGTGATTTAACAAGAAAAGAAGAAGAAATCCCAAGCTTGGTCACCAATTTTCTCAAGAAATGAGTCGGTGGCTGGAGGGCTCGGGGGGGCTGGAGGGGAGCAGAAGAAAAAGAGCAGGCCGCGCGGATAAGGGAGAAGAAAGAAAGAAAGGAAAAAGTCATCCTTATCCTAATTTCCTTTCTTTTTAGTTTCTTAACTTTCAAAAATTTTGCTATTAAGCTCCTCAATAATATTTTTCCTCAAATAAGTCCCTCACTTAATGCTAAAATATCACCAAATTTTGGGGTATTACAATTTAATTAATAGTAGGCAAGGTCGTTAATTTCATTTCTTACCGGCCGATACAGCTGGTAGATATTGATTTTATACTTAATCTAAAACAGCGTAAAATTGATTTTTATTTCGATCAAATATTGAGTGTTTCGATTAAATTTTAGTGGATTAGCCAAAAATGTTATTAGTATGGTCTTTTTATTTTTTTTCCCCTCTATTTGAATTTTGTTAAAATAAAACAAAAAAAAATCACTTACCAAATAATGTCATGAAAACATTTTATATATTTCTTAGAAAAACACATTTTTATCAATGTATTTATTTTGTTAACAAAATATTTCTGTTTTTCAGTATACACATATAAATCATGAATCGAATCTCAAAGTACCTTTTTTTTCGGATGGATCAATGATTACTATTATTATTATTATTTTGAACATGGGAAAGTGGGGGTAATGGAGGTAATTTGATTGTTATTGCACTGGATAAAATTTTGTCAAATATCAAGAGTTTAATGCATCTGAATTAAAGTAGTTAAAGCTGAAGGTGCACATCAAATGATTACTTAACTAGATATAGACTTGAAATAATATATTGCAAATATAAAAAACTATTTAATTTTTTTAGTTAGGATAGATTCAAATAAATACATAAATCTTTATAGTTAAAGGTTAAATATGTTATTATATTGTTTCTCCTTAATATTATCCTTATTATCTAAAAAAAGGAATTCTAAAAACATTTCATAAATTTCTTCTTTTTGAGTGTGTTAATTTTTAATTACTAAAAAATAGTTTTTTCATGTATTAATTTTTCTTATACTCATTAAATATAATTTCAAAGTTATATATTTAACTTATATAAAAATATAATGATAAATTCAAAATAGCATATGAAATATTATAATATTTGGTATGTATCATTCCAATGATAAAACCGTTATCCATGTTAGTACCGTATTAACAACTTTGCTAGTAAAACCAAACAACTAATTTTAGCATGCAGAAAAAATTTTAAAAAAAATATTTTAGCAAAGATTTTCTCCGTGGCCAAAGTATTAGCATCAATTCATACGGGGACGTTCTTTCCATGGTGCTCCGTGTTGAAACCAGACAGGCAGGTAAAGCTCCACATTTTTATCATAATAAAACCCGGTGAAATATAACGACATATACGATAATAGATACAACAAATAGATGCTCTCATTTGATCTATCAGTCAGACTCATTCAGAATAACCATTTTCCTTTTTGTAATATTTGTAATGTATGCCACATTATACCATTTGACCATTAATTAATTTATATTAAAAAAACAAAAGTTGTTTTTCAATTTGTTAATTGTCTAATTAAAAAGAAGACATGATTCTAGAACTTTTATAAAGTATTGAACACTGGATGCCTTTGCTATTTATGTAATTGTTTCCATTTTCGCAAATCTCATCTTGCAAGGCTTCCTTCTCTTCTCCTTTCCTTCCAATGTTTGAACTAGCAGAGAAATGGTAACTGCCTGCCTTGACCAAACACAACCTGCTTTTAAAAGTAGTAACTATCATGAACTTCACCAAACGCATCCACAGATTTTTAGACTTTCTGAGAGATAATAAGTTCTCTGTGACAGTAAGCAAGTGAAGTGACAGCACTTCATTTACCAACCGGAAGACCTGCTTGAAAACAACTTCACAAGGAATTGCACCCGATGTTCTGCTGCCAGTAGCTGTAGTTAATTTCTCGTCAGAAGAAACTGTAGAGCGGATTAGAACACCAGCTCCAACCGCAACTGTGATAGAGTTTGAGTGTTTGTAGCTATTAAGGAGATCAGAATGTCGCTCATTGTGCCAACTGACAGTGGCAGAATTTTCACCATATGCTAAAAGTTTAGGACTTCAAGAATTGGTTTAATTGAAGGAAATGGACCGGAGGGTGGGGAATTTTTGGCTAAATGTTGGCCCGAATATGGGAAAATAGGTGATACAAGTGTTTGTATCTAGCCTCACTTAATCTATCATTGTAAGATTTTACAAAACGTAAAGAAAGAAATTAAAGGAGTTAGGATCCATAATGATCTTATGATATCTCCAAAAACGTCAACCTCTCGCTAATTGTTAGGATTATTATAATAGCCCAACTATAAAGGGCCTCGAGGCCCAAGGTCGATGAGGCTCAACCTAAAGGAATTAAGCCTAAAGGCTGCGCAAGCACCTGCCCCATGGACGTTTCTATGGCTAAAAGGCAAGGCTGATGGATTCGTGTACTCTTTACTCAATTGGAAAAATAATCCCAAGGTATGTGCTGAAGCAGTTGATTATTGTTGATTTAGAAAATAGCAATGTAATATGTTATTAAAGTTAGAGATGTTTAGGTAAGGAAAATAGTTTTTGGATTGTGTATGGGCAAAGTACTTTTTATACTCTAATTTAATAAATTTTGGTTGATAAAAAAAAAATCCAACTTAACTCTACAATATGAATAGGTTATGGGAAAAATGAAAAATTAGAATATTCAAAATGTTAGGATATCTAATAATAGTTATATGATGACTTTGATAAAATCAGAATTCAAACCACATACATTTTAATTATTGTCATGGACGTTCAGATATTTTGAATATCACGATAATTTAATTTTTTTTATTTTCCCATATTTTATTTGAGTATACTGATAAGGAAAAAGTGTTGAGTACTATAAACTGTACCAAATTACACAATACTAACTATTAAATTGGGGGTTTGATTTATGATATTATGGTACCTTTTCTCATCTAATGATTCTCATTTCACAATATGATATGATTTACATTGTAAAATAAAATTCCTACTAATAATATATATATAAAAGACATTTTTGTGTGTTCTTAATTAAACACGATCTTTTTATTTTGTTCCAATAGAATTAGTGGCATTATCTGAAGTCCTGTTCATGCATTTCTACTTGCTTATTGCTTATGCTGACACATGGTATTTGGCTATTTGCAGATTGAAAGTTGTTGTTCAACCACAACTTTC